AGATATAAAAAAAATATACAATAAAGGATATGGAAAATATGAGAATCACAATATATATTTTTCTAGGAAAGTGAATCACAATTATATGATTTGGTGAATATATATAAAGTATATTTTACATTAAGTAGTTGATGTTTTTGGGGAATAAAAAACGATTTTGGAGGAAAAATACAGCACCAGGAAATGACACGTGTCATTCCCGATATTTGGTTTAATATTATGTTATTGATTGATTAATGTTGGCATGTCTTAGATAGGAACCTTGCCCCCAATTTTGCATTTGTTGCTCATTTTTTCAAAACGTGCATGTAGTTAGCTTTTTTCGAGTGATGAGAGCCGAAGTAGGCACCTAGGTAGCCAGTGGCGGACTTAGCGTTGTTCACGTTGGGTCACGTGACCCAGAAAATTGAAAAGGTTAAAACAAAAATGAAAGGAAATTTAGTTCATATACATCTCTATGGTTCAGTGGTTGAAGTGACTTCTTAGTTGGCGTGGGATTGCGGGATCAAATCCCATACTTAATGTTTTTATTTAACCTTTTTTACTAGTAACCATTGTTTTATAATTATTTTATTTTACTCTTTTTATATACTAGACTAGTAGCCTCTTTGACTTTTTTTTTTTTTTTTTTTTTAGGGATTCTTTTGTTTCATTTGATTTGTATTATTGTTTCTACTTTTCATTAAAATCAAAGAATATGTATAAATTTTTTTAAAACTCTCATACTTTTTGTTTGACTATTTTCTTTTTACTTGACATTTTACATAGCATATGATTTCTGTAATTTCTTTTTCTTCATTTGATTTTTATTACTGTATATATTATTTTACACAATCATACTTTTATTTTGTACATGTACTTTTATTATATACATCATTTAACTAATTTAAATTATCTTATGCAATGTTTAATAACTCCGAGAGTCCGAACCCCTAAGGGAGAATTTCTGAATCATCCACTGCTGTTATTTATTTAATCCTAGTTATTTAATCCACGATAGTAACCTATATTCATTAAATGAGTATTCTCAATTAATCTAATTGAAATTGTAACTTAATTTTTAGAATGAAAAGGAAAAAAACATGTGATATAACAAGTTTCTTTAATCCCAAAACATAGTTTTGGTGTTATGTTAACTTTATTAGCTAAAGTAAGCTATTTAGCATTTGTAATTTCCTAGAAAAGAATATGGAACACTTAATTTTTTGTATGCGGCTTGCTTACAAAAAATAACGGACCCCCATTTCTAACCTCGTTTTCCGTTATTTTAAAGCAAAAAATAACGGACCCTGTAATACCCCGTATTTTTATACGTATTTTATTAAATAAGTATTTTCTTAAAAGTATTTAAATAATTCGAAATGAATTATTTAGGGTTTTTCATTAATTTAAAAAGAATGATTTTTATTAAAATTGTATTTTTAATTATTTAATAATCTTGAAAATATTTTAATTTATAATTTGGAAATATTGGAGCATATTATTTTATAAAAGATAATTTTTAAAAGTCAAAGTTTTAAAGAAAGTCAAAATCCTAGTTTGATTAGGAATCCTAGTTTGAGTAGGAAATGGATTATTAAGGGTAGTAAGTAGGAGGTTATGAGAGAGGTTATAAATACCCATCATATGCCTAGGGTGGAGTGCACCCAAAGGTAAATTCTCTCTCTCCTCTTATTTTATTTTCCCCTTAATTTTCCCCTTCCCCTTTAATTTAATTATTTATTGTTTAACCACCACCACACACGCCACACACCACCACCAACCTTCACTGGCCGCAGCAGCCACCAGGCGGCGCGGCAGCGGTGGCCTAGGTGGTTGCGTATTGCTTATTCTCCGTTCTTAATTTTTAATCACGTTTAGATTCTAACTCGTTCGATTTTTACAAAAAAAAAACAGTGTTTTTCATGTGTAAACGACGTTTTAAACAAAACTCACTCCCTCAGTGAGCACCACCCTCTCGTGGCCAAATTCAGCCTCTAAATATGTTTTTCGGGCAGTTTTTGATTTTTAACTAAGGATTAATGTTTTAATGTAATTTTCAGATTTAGTTTTTAATCAAAAAGCCCCAAATTGAAAACCCTAGGTTTCTAAATTAATGTTTATTGATGGAATTTGATTGTGGTTTATTAAAACTATTAAAATTAATGTTTTTAAACTAAATTACAGCAATTTTATAAGTTTTAATAATGCCAGAATTTTTATATATAAGCTATAATTATGTTTCTTGAAAGAATTTTTAATTACCCATTAATTGGGAATAAAAGTAAGGGTTTCAAATTAAATTTCAGATTATTTTAGGGGGTTTATGAGTGATTTAAAGAGTGTATATATTGTTGGAAATTTGTGTAATAAAAAAAAATAATTGAGTTTATAAATTTGGTATTGTAGGAGACTTTAAATTGAGTAATTTCTAGCATTGTGGCTAGTTGGAAAGATGATTTAAGGTACGTTCGCGTACTTGGTGATTATTTATTTGTATGGAAGCATGCTAGGCTTTGTTTAATTAATTCCAAGTAGTATCATGATAGGTGTTGATTGGAATTTGTTGATTGGATTGTTGTTGGTGAATGATTTGTGATGTATGAATTATTCATGGTGAATTGGTGATTAAAATTTATTATATTGGCATGTTGGATATGAACCACACTTTTATTATTGTCATGATAGAAATCATGTTTAATTTGGTTTGAAATATGGAAAGAGAATTTTATTATGGTTCATATAATTTTATTGATGCTATACGCATGAGGAATGAGCTATTTAAGTGTCTATGTACACGAGGATTAAATTATATTTTGGTGCCCAAGTGCACTTAAGGTGTTTCTAACACCGAGGGATAGGATTTGTGGCACATTATGCGTTTAATGTGTTTCTAACACTGAGGGAGGATTTGTGGCGCATTATGCGTTTAAGGTGTCTCTGACACTGAGGTAGATTAGCATTGGTTCAACATTAAATTTATGTGGTCACTAATTATTCAAGAATTTAAATTGGTATGTTTGAATGCTTGAATAAATCCTAATGTTTGATTGTGTTGCGTTTTAGAGTCATCACCAGGTCAAATAAATTGTAAATAACGTAAAGTGAAAGAGATTACGCACCAAAACTCTTGGAACGTATATACCTTGAGTATGAACATATGGGGGGAGTTATGCGACTTTATATTTGACCATAGCTTCTACTGGGAGTATCAGACGCTGTATTTTCCTTTTTATTATGCGCAGGAATTCCGCCGCTTACGAGTAGTTCTTTTATACTTTCATGGTTAGCTCCCGTGTTAGTACCCCTTTATTGGGGCAGGTTAGGGGGAAATCCGTTCGATGCGTAATCAAATTAAATGAACATTAGTATTTCTCTAGTTAGGTGTTGGGTGTCTTGTATGCTTGTGAACAGGTGCAACAAGGTAAGTTGTGTGTTGATAGGATGAAAGCATGTTAGTGTGTTTTGTTACGCTTATGTACTCAGCATTGCTGATTGTGTGTTTGCATGTTTGTTTGGCCTTTTCTTTACCTTGGCCCTACAACGACCCATTTCTAATGGCGAGTAGTGGGGACAAGTAGAGAGAAGATTTCAGGTGATGAAGCATATCAAGCATGATGGGTCTGAGTGAAGAGGGTTATATGTTTCTTTGTTTGTTATTTATTGTATTGAATTATTTATGTAGTTTTTGACACTAACATTAGTTAATGTTTATATTTACTTTGGCTTAAAAAGGGCCTTTAATGGTTCCAAGTTATTGTTTTAGTGTAAGTTGGTTTTAAAATTTGAGTTGATTTTATTAAACTTTATTTCATATGGATTTCTAAAAGATAGTCTTCCGCTGTGTGTCTTTGATATTTGCCTTAGCCGTTTTCACGGTGGCGGTAGGGTCTTAGATTTTCCTATTTCGTATTTCAAAAAGGGCAAAACAGGTATTTCAGTAGGGTGTTACAGACCCCCATTTAAAGCCATTTTTTTTTTTTTGGTCTCACACTTCTCGCTCCTCATTGTATTCCCTTTCTCATGCTTTTCTCTCTCCTACCTTCTATGAGGATGATTTCTCTCTCCTACCTTATATGAGGATGATTGGTACAACATACAAACAAATTCATGCAAGAAATTTACACAAAGAGCAAGTAATTTGAAAACCCCCAAATCGATTTTTGGGGTGTTTATGTGCGATTTTGGGCAAAATTCTCAAGCAATTCCGCAACAAAAGTATATAAACGGGGTTATTGGGTTTTTGGATTGATTTGGTGTACTTGGGGTTGTTCGTCGTCGTCGTCGTCTTCTTCGGCGTCATTGGAGTAGCTTCGAAGGAGATCTATTAAAGAAGAAGATGAAGAAAAGGGGTTACTTATATATGGTTTAACTGTCGAGGGGTTACTGATAGTATTGGCTACTTGAAATTTGGGGGTTACTTTTGTTCCAGAAAAAAAAAAAAAAAGGTTACTTATAATATGGGTTACTTGTTTTTGTCTTATGTTCTGAGTATTAGAGGTTACTACTTCAATTTAGTGGTTACTACTTGAAATTATGGGTTACTTGAAATTGGGGTTTACTTATAATATGAATTACTTGAAATTAGGGGTTACTTGAAATTGGGGGTTACTTAAAATTAGGGGTTACTTGAAATTAGGAGTTACTTGAAATTACGCGTGACGATGTGAATGTCAGCATCAAAAAGTTGTTGAAAAAGTATATAATAACTTATATAATTATATAAGCTTTATATGAGTATTTAATTACAATTTAGATATTCGCTAAGCTCTAGTGTTATAGAGTGCAATTCAAGCTAATAAAGATGTTTAATTTCATCGTTTACATACAAGGGTTAAGGGCTCAATTTCCCCCTCTAAGTGTTTCAAAAAGTGTACCAATCCCTCGTATAAGTCCTATACTGAGTAAGTGAGTAACATTATATATAGATGTTATCATATATATACTCCAGTTGTTCCTTAATGTTTGCCTCATATCTTAACTTTCACTTTTTTAGAGTTGTATTAACTTTGTTGACACTCTAATCCATTACTCAAAACCGACTTACGGTATGAAATAGAGTAGACAGAAATTACCTAATGGAGTAACTAAAAAAAAAAACGAGGCAAACTCAAAACCGACTTAAGTTTAATGACGTTTTTCATGCTCAAAGTCTCAAACCATGCTTTAACTTTCACCAGAGTGACCGGGTGATTTTTGCAGTTTTGCCCACACTCTGACACTCCAAAAAAAAAAAATATATTATCAATTTATCATCAATATCATTATCATCTTGTTCATATTTCCGTTTTCAAAGAGAAATCCGCAGAAATATTTCACACGCAGTTGCAGGTGAAAAATTAAATGCTTCTTCAATTTCTTCTCATTAAATGCTCCCAACTTCACACAACTTACCCCAATTCCTTCAATTTATCTGCACTTCTGTTTTGTTCAAATTTTGCTCTTTTGTCCCACTTTTTTTAAGGTAATTCGTGTTGTCTATTTACTGGGTTCTCAACTCTAAATCATTTTTCTTTAAAAAAAACAAATAAATTTAATCAATTTCAAATTTTTACCTCCAACTTTTTTATATTTAATGTGAAAATTGATTGAGTAGTCTTTATCAGTTGTCCTTCAACATTTACTACACTAACTCTACTTCAATTTTGTTAGTTGGAGAACAGTGAATTGGTTTTAATTTGTTCACCTATTTTACCTTTTTTAGTTGTTGGGAATTGGAAATGAGGGTTTTTTTTGGTACAATTTTAACTGTTTAAGAGAAACCCAGGAAAAAAAAAAAATTCAATCTTTTGAGGTTTTTAATGGAGGGTTTGAGCATAGGTAAAGATGATTGTGTTGGTGGGAGGGGTGAGAATGGGGTTTCATTTCACCATAGGCGTTCAAGGAGGTTACAACATTACTTATTATATGCCTACTATTTTATTGTTAATTTTCTTTGGTTATGTTTTAAATAATTTTTTAAAATAATTATAACTGATGAAATCTAGTTAAGTTGATTTGTTTATTTTGTTCAATTGGGTTGTTGAAATATGGTACTTAATTTGTTGTGCACTTATGCATATATTCATGGGCCAGTACTTTAGTCTATATATTTGTGTTTTGTAGTTTTGTGCCAGTTTATACTTACTAGACACTAATATATGGTTTGGCATATGACAATTTGAAGTGAGTCTGAATTATCTTCCCTTTATAGCTGCTAGGATTGTCTGTCAAATTTGTTGACAATGCTTGGCATTAAAATTTTCGGACTTTGTTCTGCTTACCATTGGCTGTGAATTGTTCTTAGATCTTGGTAAATATAAAGCTTTAAAGTTATTATAAATGGTAATCCTGCAATGCAGTAAACTGATGGGTGCTTATTTCAATTTAGCATGGAATAATTTGTGTTGATATGTGATGTACATGATGCTAGTTTGGATGCTATTAAGTAGTAGTACTCCAAATGAGAACATATTGATGTATTAGTAGAGTAGTATACCATATTGGGGTGTATATATCGCTGCCTAAATGTCTCCATTTTTTCTCACTTCAGTGCTTCAGACAAGAAAGCTGATATATCAAGATTTGGAGTTCCTTATTCTATTGACTGCAACCATGATTTATCACTTGTAAGACCACATTCCCTTTTTATTAGTTTTGAATGTAGCTTCACTGTTTGATGGTCGGGCTAAGATGGTTAAAATTGTTACAAATTTATATGTTGAAAATTTGAATCTTGTTATCTGCCTATATGTTTATAGATGATGAGTATGATTTACTTTGACGAGTTACATGTTTGTTTTGGGTTCTTGTTGCTCATAGGACTCACCGTTTTCATCAAGGACCTGTGGCTCTGAAACCCCTCATAATGGGCGATCCATTGATTCGAGTACAAGCTCATCAAATCACCGTGCCTCTTTGGAAAAGGATGTAAGTTACTTTGTTGAATGAATTTAACTATATAATCCTAATGTTGAAAGAATACTAATCTCACTTTAAATAGAAAGGGATAGATGTCTTGTTCTGAAGTATTTGAGTTTACAAATGCGTCTTGGGCAAGGATCACTTGAACTTGTGATACTGTTGCTTATGAAATAGGAATCTCAACTTGTTACATGATTGTTATATAACGTGCTTAACATAATTCTGCATGGTGTAATGCTAATTGCAGGTATATTTGCTACAATCACGTTTGCAGCAAGAGAAGTCTATGCGCATTATGCTGGAGAAAGCAATCGGTCGGGCTTCTAGTGCTTTGTCACCAGGTCATAGGCATCTTGCCTCTCAGGTAAAACAAAGCCTCTAATTCTGTAAACCTACTAATGCTTAATGACTCCCACTTGCAGAAATGTTTGAAATTATATTAGCTTTGATCAATGAGGAAACTTGGAACAAATATCAATACAAATGAACAATATAGATCTTATAATATAGGAATTTAATTAACATGAATTTGTGAGTAATTAGTTGCATTAGGGTCCCCAATAAAACCATGCCTTTATCCACTAGTGGCATAGTTGACTTAGGAGCTTGAATCCTTTTGCTTAATTGTACTTTGTGGAATATTTTTTTATTAAGAAAGTAGAAGGTGCAAGTTAATGGTTATTTTGTCTTTTGGGCGTCTTAATATTGGGAACTACTGTTGTTAACTTATCTGAGTTTTATCAGGCAAAGGAGCTGATTGCCGAGATTGAATTACTTGAAGAGGAGGTTTCCAATAGAGAGCAGCATGTTCTAACTCTTTACAGGAACATCTTTGAGCAGTGTGCCAGTCAGCCATCTTCTGTGCAAACCTCTAGCATGAGTTCTCCTGTTCATACTAAAAATAAACCAAGAAAGCATCCTAGCAAAATTTCAAGCGCAACTTGCTCCTCGAAGAAATTCCCTTTGCGAGGTCTTTCTTTAAAAAGCACTTCTGCAAAGAAAGATGGCAAGATTAAACATGGCTCATTATGTGTAGGAAAAATAGACATCCATAATGAGAAGCCCTGTTCTAACCAGATCAAGGTATTTTCTAGAATCCAAATCATGAATTAGTACCATTTTTTAGAAATAATTTCTATCTAGAGTCCCTATCAAGTCTTGTCTTGGTCAACAAAATGAAAAAAGAAATTGCCAGATTATAATTGATTTCCTTCTTTTGTAGAGATTAGTTAGTGGATGCTAGATATTTGAAATGATGTGATGACCTATTACTTTCACATAAATAGCTATATATGCATTTTTCTGTAACAATCCCCTCATCATGTAGCACAGATATTAATCATTGTCATAAATTACATTTGATGGTAATTGCCAACTCTTTAATTTATAGTCTTCTCTTCATAGCGAGTAATGTTTAAGATGCTTGAAATGATGTTATGAGACTGATGATGTATCACTTTCACATCAATATCTACATATGCATTATAATCAAAGAAACTTTCATCATGTAGCATGCATTAACATTGTCACTTGATGTTCATATGGTATATTAGCTGCAAATGGATACTTTTATTCATGTAGAAAGGGAGGGGGGTATGGCAGGTTTGATATGAATTCTATGAATAATACGAAGTAATACTTAAATTTGGCCTGTTTGTAAAATGGCCCTCAATATCTGTTGATATAAACGTCAGATTTGTTTATTGTACCCCCATCCTCCCACCCTACCCCCGGCCCCCGCTCCACCCCAGCAAATTGAACTCGAGAGTGGAGTCTGTATTCATATGATTGCTTTGATATCAATGTTAGGGAAGCAAGTATTTAACCTTTTTGGGATGTGATAGGCTTATTAAAGCTGAGGCCTGCAAATCTAGCTATATAGATTAGATATACTCAAACTTGGCCACCACACTTTTTTAAGAAGTGAAAACTACAAAGATGAATTCAGGTGATGAAATAGGTGCTTTGGGTTCATATGGGTTGGAGGCAGGGCATTTAGGAAGGATCATGTTAGGAATTCGAGAGTAGCAAAGATGTGTATGTTGAGATGAATGTGCAGGAGAAAACATGGGAGGTGACACGAGGTTCTAGCAGTGTTGGTGAAGAACATAAGAAAAAGATCATAGGGGTGGGGAAAATGAGTAACTTTAGGTAACCTTATATGTATTTGTCTCTATTTCTGTTGAGCAACTAGAATATACAAAGCATGCCAAAAACTCTTATTAGTAAACAATTGGTCAAACAATGTAAAACTGTTTCCGTATCTCATAAGTGTTTGTAAGATTTTGTGGGCAAGAATTTATGTTCCTAATAAATCTTTCTCTAGAATTAGTTTCTAAAAAAAGTGTGTTTCAGAAACAAAAGTTTATTTTCAGATGGCTGAACAGATCCTAACCTCTAAGAAGGTTAGACCTTAGACCAGCATCAACAGAATGCACTTGGGTTGTTTTTGTTGTTATTTTAATCACGTTGCATTGAATTTCCTGCCTTCATGTATGGAGATGAGGAGTTCCTTAGAGTTATTTATCTGTCCTATTGTAATGATGTCATCTACCAAAAGGCTGAATTAAATGTCTGCTATGTTACATGGACTCGGGAACGGGTGTCGGACGCGGACACATGTCCAAGTGTCCGATCCGGCAAGTTCCAAAATTTTAGGACACGGGGACTCTGTCCGATATTTGGACACGGGTACGGGGACACATCAATATGCCACTTAAAATTATATAAATAGATTATATATTACAAAAGTTTTAAGTTTTTCATTACGTCCAACCTTATTTTTATTTTATTTTAATTCTTTCCTCGGTAAATTCTCCTAATAAATGGCTATCTTCTTCTCTCCATCTTCTCTATATCAATGGTGGTCTTCGAATAAGATGTATTTTTCTTTCATGTTTCTCCTCTTTTTTCCTCTCTACTCTTAATGGAAGTGTCCGAGTGGACAGTGAAGGGTCGGACACGTGTCCCGTGTCCGATCAACATAGAATGTCTGAATTAGTCAAAGGCTCTTTCATCTGCCACTGACCGGCTGTCTTCAACTTGCTGTAATTTTTTCTTATTAGGCTGTGCCTGAACCACCCTCCCCCCCCCCCCACCCCTCCTCCCCTTCCTTCCCCTCTAAGTTTGGACTTTGATAATTTTGCTCCTTAGATTTCTTTTTTGTGAATTCCAGGTTCATGGGAAGTCATCAGACATAGTAAAGAATTCTGGTGTTCGAACATTGAAGGATTACCTTCATCAGTGCCCTAGCAAATTGTCTGAGGAAATAGTTAACTGTATGGCTGCAGTTTACTGCTGGTTTTGCAGTGCTACATCAACAAACTCGGACAATTTAGGGAATCATCAATCATCTGGTGTCTCAAAGTTTTGTGGTGATTTTAATCCCCAGCTTGGCAGCCAGAAAAAGCATACTTCGAAATCCATGCTAGAGATATCCTCAATGCCAACTGACAAAAAACAAGTTTCTCGTGCATCTTATGCAATCACCAGCTATAGGTTGGTTCCCTCATTAGTGGCAAACTGGCAATGGCTCCTTACATGTGGTCAAACTCAAAACCGTAATGTGCTGTGTATGAGTTTGTGTTTTACAATCCAATTGCTTTGCAAAAGGGTATTTGGAACTTAGGATAGAGATGCTGTCATTCAGCTGTTTTTTTTTTTTCTCAAATTAAAGGTTTGGATCTTAGATCCATGAATACTTGTAAATTTCAGGTTTACTATATCACTGTTTATTTTCTCTGATCAGTGGTGTAAATGTTTGTTACTTCTGACGTATGGTACACACATGAAACTTCTACAATGTGTGTAAATTTTGAACACAAACCTTTATTTCCGCTTGCAGAGCACTCGTTGAGCAACTTAAAAGGGTTAATGTGAGCCAAATGGAAGTCGAAGCCCAAATTGCATTTTGGATCAACATCTATAATTCACTCATAATGCATGTATGGATTACATTATAATTCACTCATAATTGTATATTAAGTTTGCATGTTATATATATTTATTGTAACTCTTTGATCCTTGTATTTTGCAGGCATATTTAGCGTATGGAATCCCCCATAGCTCTCTGAGAAGACTAGCTCTGTTTCACAAGGTAGTGCAATTACATGATGTTCTTATTGATGTATCAACTCATGCTTTATACCTTTAATGACAAGGGAAATTATTTGGCATTTTAAGCAATGTGCCCCTTGCAAACAAAGTCACTTTAATTTTAAAGAAACTTTTTTTCCTTTCCTGCAATTCCAATGGCATCCTCCTTTCAAGGGTTCTTTTAGATCCTGCTGCTTCAAAGGGAACCAAATAATAAATTGCAACATTTTGTCAACCCAACTAAGCAACTTAAAAGCTGGGTTTGAGATTATTCGCTTGGCTTTTACTTACTATAACTTATTTTACTCATTTTAGTTGTAAATTGAACTTTGGTGACCCATTATGAAAACTATTTAAACTTATTTTTCTAGAACCTGTACTACTCCCTCTATTCTTAAATACTTGCAATACATGTGTTTGCGTGTAGTTTTAGGAAAGCTTGTGGAGTTGTGGCTTAGTATATTGAATTGAATAAACTAATCTACATGTAGAGCCAATGGGGCCTATGAAGGTATTTTTATTTGTTGTGGAAGAGAGAAATAATAAAGAATTAATGCAAGTGGGGTTAGAAAAAGAAACAATAAAATAATTGTGAAGACCGATGCCATAATAAGAATTAGAAACAAACAAAAGAGGCAAGTGTTGCAACACTTGCCTCCTTTAGCCGACCCCATTTATGGGATTAAGGCTTTGATTGATAGATTGATCAAAACCTATTAATCCTTATTTTAATTTATCTCAACTTATATTAACCCTAAAATAAGTGGAAATAAGGTGAACAAAACAAGACCCTTAATCTTGTAAAGGGGTAAGGGTGGCCTTTTATCTTTGTACCTGGAGTGGATGATACCACAAGTCATTTTAATTTTGATAGACTCTCAACAGTTGTCAGGCATGATTCATGATTCAGATACCTTTGTGTTTTTTGCTTTACCTTTGACCAAATTTCTTTTATTTTTAACTTAGTGATAGCTGTAGTAATGTTTCAATCAGCATTATTCTTAAGAAATGCCTTTAAATAATTGTATTGGTGTTTATATCTGGGAGGTTGGCTTCTCAAATAGCTGAAAATACAAAAAAAAAAAAAAAAAAAAAAAAAATCATTAAAGGGTTTGCTAAAGCTCTTATTCTCAATGATACTATTAGTCTCTTAGCTTAATGATTCAATAATAGTTCTGTTTTTTCACAAATTTTTACATCATACAACCTGATGAATTGACAGGTTACTCTGTGTAGTGCAGGCGGGCTACAACATTGGTGGCATAGTTGTCACTGCAAATGCCATAGAACACTCAATCTTCTGCTTTCGTACACCTTGAGTTGGTGGGGTAATTGCTTCTGGCTATTCTCTATTAGTTATATAGCTTACGGATTGTAGTTTCCAGATTGTAACTGGCAAACTGCTTGTGTCCTGATACTTGATCCATGTGCTTTTACCTTAAAATTTTTGTTAATATTCAAAATAATGCTAAAGAATCACTATGTGTTGTTAGCTGTCCTTAAATTGACTTTACTATCCCTAAAATTAATGATGATGTATGTGTATTTTTTTTGTACTTATTCGAACCTTCCTATTTATGCCCTTCTCTCTCTCTTTCGATATCCATACAGAAACTAGGTTTTTTTTTTTTCCTCAAAACTTCTAATATTTCTTTAAACTCAACGCTAACATCAAGAGACATTCTTTTTGGAATTGAGTAATGTACTGCTCTTCATCTATTGATTTCACCTCCTCTATCCTGTTAGACTGATATTTACTCACATCTTTGAAAATAAATATGTGCCTGCCAAATTGCGTTGGAGGGATCTGAATGAGAGAATGGTAAACTGGCATCCTTCCCTTGTAGAAAAGTTTGTACAGGAGCATCTTTCATTTCCTTTTCCTTGTGAAACATGGAAAGAGAAAACAGTGGTGTGAAATCAAACTAAAATTTTAACTGGAAAAGATTAGATAATAGAGTTGTTGCTGAAAGGATTTTTTTTACTGTGATTCTGATTCACCAGCTAGAAGATTACTTGATGTATGTGGTGTTTGAATTTGGTTGCAGGATAATTTCCTATGTCTGCTTGGATGATATTCTTGCATTTTCACAATTTTTAAATTTTTGTTATTGTTTATCAGCATCATCTATGCAATCTTTTTGATTCAGTTGCATAGGAGTCAAAGAAAAACATGCCTTCACTAAGTAGTATTTGTTTGTTCAGTGGGTTGAAACCTTTCTATCGACTGCCTTTAGAAAGAAATCTGGAGATGAGAAGCAACTCCTTAGCTCAAAACTCAGTTTTCCTGATTCACAATCCCTTGTTTGCTTTGCACTCTGCACTGGAGCCTACTCCGATCCTGTGGTAACTTCCTTGCTCTTGGACTACCTCCATTATCTATAATTGTGTTATAAACCATAAACACCAAGTCTCAATCTTTACTGTCGTATAAATGGGACTGACTTGAATGCATTAATCACAATTGATAAGGTGATTAAGGTCTATCATGCGGCTTAGGACAAAATTAGCCAGACATTTATCTGAAACATTTGGGCTTTGATAATTCTAATTAATGTGTTCCTAAACCATGGAAACTTTTTGCATTTATAATTTGCTCTGTCAGTCTGCTTCTGTTTTTCTGATTACCTATGTAGTTTAATCTGCCCCAATTTCCAATTATGTATTATTACTCATGATGTATAAAGTTATGTATCTATGACATCCAGCTGAAGGTCTACACAGCAGCCAATGTCAAAGACGAGTTAGAACAGGCAAAGAGGGAGTTTCTTGTATCCAACATAATTATAAAGAAATCAAAGAAAGTATTTCTGCCAAAGATGCTCGAAAGGTATTCGAGAGAAGCTTCCATGGGATCTGACGAACTTCTCAAATGGGTTTGCAAGAATGTTGATAAGAAGCTCCAAGACACAATTCAGCGATGCCTTGATTCAAAGTACTGCAAGAAAGCATCTCAGGTAATAGAGTGGTTACCATACAGCTCTAAATTTAGATATGTATTCTCAGAAGGACTAGCTACAAAACCTTGGTGGGTTTGATAGCTTTTGATTTTCTACTGCCTGTATGATGAGAACATATCGAGCGCGTTCCATGATCACATGTTAGAAGTTCAATTTTCCCAGGAAAATGTATTAGGATGCTGCATACCTAGACTTTTACTAATCTTCTGCCTAGTTACTTTGTACAGGAGTTTTCTAGGTCCTTTTTAGTTCATGAATCCACATGCTTTCAGTTACAATCTATCCCTAAAATCCAAACTCTGTGTCTTACAAAGACGGTTTTCTGGCCGTCATAACGTCGTGATGGTTATTGGGCCGTCATTGAATATTATTTGTGACTGTTAGAATATCGTCGCGGACATTCCAAAACACCGTCGTAAAAATCTATTTTTATGACTATGCGTACTACGGCACTCAAATTACGACTGAAGGCTGTCATAGACATTTTAGACTGTAGTTTGTTTGCGAATTAATCCATCTATTTTTATTTGATTATAATCTTAATAACTTTTTTTTAACATCATATAATGTGTGACAAACCCTAATATACAAATACAATTAAAGTAAAATTACAAGAATTGAATTCGCAAGGGGTGTGAAAAATGATTAGGGAGAAATTATAGGAAAGAGGAATAGTCAAATTAGAGAGGGCGTGGATTGGGGAAGAAGACAGAAAATTAAGGAATGATTTCAGAGATTAATATGGCCGAGTTAGTTAAGGAATATTCCCACTAAACAATGTCACAGATATTGAGTACTCAGCAAGAAAACTGAGGGTTTTTTTTTTACACAAGTATAATTAATTTTCAACTTAAATACAGTAAATACAGCAGTAAATTATATGGACTTAAATAGTGCTGCTTGCCTGCTTATGCTAATGAAGGTTTTTTTTTTTTAATTATGCTAATGAAGTTTTTAAATCTTGTTAATTACTTCATAAATTAATTAAACTATCGTATAATTGAGAATTAACCCTTATTGTATTATCCATCGGATAGATGTACTCCGTAGCATTCTTTGCTTTTTAAACTCGGGTTACTTTTATTTACACCAACTTTTATTATTATTGACGGATATAAAAATTAAAGTGGTACTTGTACTATAATATTTATGACAAATGTATGTATTATATTCTAAAATTAAACATTTAAGTTATGGTTAACCAATTAATACAATTTTATTTTTATTTTTGAGGAAAATTAAGCAATAAATACAATTTTTTTTTTTTAAATGCCATAAAGATGATAATTACTTTCCAAATATTCACTTCATATAGGAGTATTTTTTATTTGTTGAATGTAAAATGGGCTCAAATCTATCAAGTATACAAGTATTTTTAAAAAAAAAAAATCATCAAGTAGCTTACTTTATTGTATGGGCATAAATCTAAAATGATATTGGACCGGCTTTAAGTATAATCTGTAGCTCATGAGTCATGATCCATGCCTTTTGAAGCCCTTACATTATCATTCAAATAAAAGTGAGTTGTTATATAACTAGTCCAAGTGTCCAACAAAAAAACAAAGAAAACCCAATAATAAAGGTAGGAAAAACTAGTACAAAATTCAATTGAGCAATTAGAATTTACAAAAACTTAACCCAATAATTAGAAGAACTGAAGAAGACTTTATTAAAATGTATTCTATATTAGATTACATTATTATTTACATGAGGCGGCCCATCTATTAAAATATGGTAGACATACTATGTTGGATTTTAACATGAATTTCACTTTAGTTGTTAGAATTAAAATTAAAGATTTTAGCCTATGTTGTATGGGACATAGAATTCTAGCAATATAAGCCCGTTATCCAAACCTTTTCTAATGAACCAAATAAAAGTTGAATTGTTTAATTTATGAAAAACTCTATTCAAAAACACAAATATTTTAATTAAGAATTGCGTAAGGCTACATATAAACATTTAATATATTTTCTAAGTACTCCATATTAGTTTTATAATGCACGACAAAATAACGCATCAAACAATTTATAGAGTAATTAGAGTTTAATTTAATTTTTACATTTTTAGCTTTAATATGTAGTCCTTTTTCATTTTCCTATACTATGTCATTAATCTTTGAATTAAGATCATCATTGTCAAAAAAAAATAAATTAAGATCATCGGATTTTTTAAGATAAATAGATAATTACACATTATAATTTTGCATTAGCCCCAACCTCTAAAAAATAATTAAAAAAAATATATGTTATATACTCCCTGAAAACCCTAACTGCTCAAACCTCGGATCCTCCAAAAGTATAGTGACAGTTATTCTCCCACTTCTCACTCTCTCTTTCTCTCTCCTCTTCCTCTCTTTCTCTCTCTAGCAGTTTATAGCAGTTATTATTCTTTCTCCTCTCATTCTCTCTACTCTACTCTGTACTTAGTCTTTGCTCAGTCTTCTTTCTCTCTTAAATCCCCTGTTTTACCTCAGCTTAGACAACAAATCTTAACACCAGCTAACCATAATTATGGCTTTAGATTGGCAAAATCCTAACTACTTCCTTAACCAATCTTACCCTTTTCACCAACTTCATTTCCAAGATCCTAACAACATTCTTTCACCACCTAATGAAACAGAGCTCCTCTGTTTTGATCCTCTGCCTCCTTCACTTTTCGACTTCGATGAACCCCTGTTTGATCCTCTCCCTTTACAACAGCTTGAATTTAACTACGATTGCAACATTCAGAACTGCAATAACAACTCCTCCCCTTTCTCGTATGTCGATTTCCAACCTCCCGTGATCGTTCCGGCCGAGGAAATTCTCTCATTTGAGGATGATTATTACTCCTCTCAATTCACCCCTTTTTACAGGAAACAGAGGGTTGCAGCTCAACTCCCCTGTTTTAATGAGCCCTACATTCCTGAAGCTTTCACGGTTCCCGAGTTTGGTATGGATTATGTGAATGATAATTTTAACAAAACTCACAATTATGGTTATTGTTGTAGTGGTAATGAGGGTGGAGCTAATTTTAATGAAGGGTATGGGAGTAATGGAAATAAGGCGAAGGCGATATCGGCCCAGAGTAAGGCAGCTAGAGAAAGGAGGAGGAAGATTACTGAGAAGACTCAGGAATTAGGGAAGTTGATTCCTGGAGGTAATAAGATGAATACTGCTGAAATGCTTCAAGCTGCTGCTAAATATGTCCAGTTCATGCAAGCTCAAATGGGAATTCTTCAGTCTATCAAAACATTACAAGAGGTAATTTTTATTTAGTTGTTACTCATTTTAATAATTTCAGCTATTTTATTTCCAATTTTTTCAGCTGTTTTTTTTTTTTTTTTTTTAATAGATAGTCATGATTTAGTATTAATTAGAATTGCATTATTGCACATTGTTGTTTATATAAAAGCAATACAGTATCTAATATTGTTCTTAGACAAGATTTAGAGGTGACAAACAAATCGTTCGAATTGAGTCATTAGTATAAAGTATTACGTTATTTTTTTCGGATTGAGTCAAGCTGAGTTCTCTTGATGCGTCGCGCATTGATTGAGCTCCAACAATGATTGAGTCAAATATTGATTGCAATAGTACAATAATGAGAGTGACTCACTATATACTTGTATATAATAGTCATGCTATCATATCTTATCAAAACATGTTGAATTGCTCCCCTATTTTTCCTTTCAAAAGTTGCTCTCTTGTAACAATTAATGAAACAATATTTGTACTAACATGACAGTTTCTTTTGGAACATTATCGATTTAGTAGTTGATTTTGCAAACATTTGTTATCCTTATTTCATTTATTGTCTGTGTTTTTAGAGATAGATTATTATTATCAGAGAGTTATTAAATTGATTTTGCATTTCAGCTTTTTTTTTTTTTTTTTCTTACTAATTTTGTTAGTGCTTTGACTGCTATGGCAGTTATTAGACAAGCTTGTGACCAAAGTAAAAATTTGTTATGAATTATTCAGCTGTCAAAATTAAAACCACTATTTTAGGCATAACAATAGGAAAACAGTTACCATTTGGCTAACTTCTTTATTTTTTTTGTCACTTTCGAGGTATTATTTTCACCATTTTTTTTTTATTTATACACATGTTATAATATGGTTTGTAATTGTTATTGTGAACTAGAACTACAATACGTAATATTCTAATCAATGTTGATGAAGATAAATTAATGGTCAAAACACGACCCCTAATACAAGTTTATTGAATTTAAATTTGTTCGCTAGTGTACACTATGAATTCGTAATCTGACTTGACTATATATTTGGATTTGTCTATTTTTGCAGGATAATGACCAAAAAGCCAAATTAAGCAACCTTCCAATTTTGTCATCAAGTTTTGTTCAAGAGAAGCTCTATGCAAAGGAGCAGTGCTTAGTTCCCTTGGAACTTCTTTCAATAATTGAAGAGCAGTATGAAGATTATGAGGCAGATCCATCAATTAAACAGCAAATCAAGGATCTTCTCCACTAACAATGTTGTTAATTATACGATGTTGTTTTAGAAGTCCAACATATGTTGCATATATGCCAATTCTAATTTTAGTTACTAATCACCAAATAGGCTAATATGTATTCTTTGCATATTGATTCCCTAGATTAGTTTTTGTTTATATGCTAATTCTTTGTTGGTCGTCACACGGGGTGTATTTTTACTACTCCGTCTGTTTTTTGTTTAACTAGGGTTGTTTTAGGTTTAACCGTCAAAATTAGGAGTTGTTGTTTTACAATTTGTTATCTCATATTTGTGGTTGTAGTTTTATTAAATAAAATGGTAATTGAATTTTCTATTCTTTATATAATCTCATCTTGTGGTTGTACTAAATAGGGGTGGTATAGTGAAAACTATAAAAGTGTTTTTTTCTTAATATTTTTTTTTTTGTTGTTGATTACTGTGTTATCTAGCAGAACAATGTAAACCACTACATGAAATTTATATTAGTCATGAGTTTATTTTTACATGTAATAATATTTCCAAAAGGAGCTCTCTTTACACAATATTCTCTCTCCTCTTAAGCCTTAACCTTTTATTTGAGCCCCCTCCATTTGAGAAGTTTGCACAAACTATCTGCTAAGTTAGTCATTTTTAAGACAAAAGCCATAACTATTTTAATATTGTACAAGATATTGATGGTTGAGATGGATAAATTTAAAGTTAAAATATAACCTTTTTGTGTTGTTTAGAACAAATTTTTTTTATTTTTTTTCATATATCTTTAATTAAGCAACGTAGCTATATTTACCCCTAATTAGGCCACAACAATTACTCATTATATACGTAGTAAGTAAGTAAAATTTATGAATCAAGAACAACTTAGGAGGAATATGTTGCTTTTATTAATGTAATATCATACAAGAAATTGATGGTTGATCAGATGGATAAATTAAAAGTTACAATATAATATTTTTGTGTTCTTTAGAACAAGTCAACAAGTTTTTTTTTTTTTTTTTTCTTTTCTCCGTATCTTTAATTAATTAAGTAGCGTAGTTATTTTTACCCCTAATTAGGCCATAACAAATACTCAGATACGTAGTAATTAACTAACTAAAATTTATGAATGACGAACAGCTTAGGAGCTAGGAATATGTTGCTTTTATCAATGTAATAATGTTCTATATATATTTAGATTATTAAAAAATAAATCTTTATATAATCGATCCCAAAATAAATTCAATTCAATCATGATTCTAGTTAAGTGTACAACTATTTTCTATTATATTATCTTGTTAATAAGGAAATGATCTTGAATGATTCTTATGTATCTAATGGGATCGTCCTATTGTCTTAAAAAAAAAAAAATGGGATCGTCCTATTCATCTTATTTTCACTCCGAAAAAAAAAATAATAAATAAGATAAATTCAGTAAATATGAGTTTGGATAAGGATAAAATTGGATTACTCATATTCAAATTACAACTAAAAGTTTTGATAAGTTGTGGATCAAGTAAATAGAATACACCCCAATAAATTTTTATTTTGTTTGCTTTATTAATTGTATATATTTGTAGTTATACTCCTAGAATGTTTGCACATCAATACATCATATATTCGCTTATATCACACAACTCAACTGCGGAATTATTTTACTTTAAAATAGATAAAAAAAAAAAAACACAAGATATTGATTTTAATTTCTGATTTTGAGACCATTTTTTTTGGGGGGGGGGGAGACTTTTGAGAACATATTATGGATAGGGAGAAATATCATTTTCTTTATTTAGTTGTCAATTACCCATTAAAAGATAATAAATTAAGTTTAAATACATGTAATGGTGTGTGTATATTTTATTTTAATGTATAATTATTGTGTTTTGATATATTACCTTATCTAAGTTTATCCTTTTTTTATTGCAAATACCTAATATATAATGATGCATATGATAGATAAAAAGGAATAAAGATATGTAATTTATGAAATAAAAATACTTTAGTTCAACGTACATGTAATTAACATATTAGCCAAACATGAAGAAAACTATTGCAATGTATTGAATAATGCTTTCTACGAATAATTGGCAAAGGAAAAAAAAATTGAAATAACTTATTTTAGTTCAATGTATACATAAATATATTAGCCAAATAGGAAGAAAGTTATTGTAATGGATTGAACGATTTATACTAATAATTGGCAAAGGGAAATAAGAAGAGAAAATTTTGAAATAATATATTTTAGTTCAACGTATCAATCAATCAATCAATAATATATATTATATTATATAAATAAAGTAGGCATTTTTGGAGAGCATTCGGAGCGTCACATAAGAAATATACTTATTTCGACCAATGAGAAGAAAGATTTGTATTTTATTTTTGAATTAAAAAATTATGTCGCCACCTAGATAAAAGTAACGAATTAGATTTGATATATCTAAAATTTTAATGCCACGTAGATAAAATCCACGAATTAAATTATATAAACGAAAAAAAATAAAATAAAAATATAGGAAAAGATAAATTTATTAATTCAATACTACGAGTATAAGAAATCCAAAAAAATATATTAAGAAATATTTAAATGATAAACGCTTATAATAAAGTTTGATACCTATCATTATAAGATAAATTTTGATAGTATTTATGATAAGAAATACAAATTGTTCGTTAAGATAAATTGACACATCATACGATACAAACAAAATTTCGTATCAATAAAAAACCCCATCGAGCAAATTTTGTGTTAGTAATTTTGTGTTAATTTTTGGTCATCAATGGCCGGGTAATTTTTAGCTTAATTTTTAAAATCCTATGTTTAAATTAGTATTTCTATGTTTACCAATATTTTTAAAACAATGAATAGTATTTCTATTTAACCATAGGATTTTAATTTATATCAAACGAGGTTGGTGATTCTATCGAAACAAAAGATATGGTAAAGCAATGAATAGTGATTTAGGATTTAAATTATTAAAAATTTATCATTTCACGTTAAAGATTTTATATAACGGAAAAAATATCATATTTACAATTTATTTATATTTTATAAATTCATTATAAATTATAGTAAAAAAAAATATTAAACTTTTGTAATTTTGTCTGAAATTATTAAATACAATAAATCAAATAATTAAAAATCTAAAATTTGATACCTATCATTATAAGACATATTTTGATAGTGTTTATGATAAGAAATACGATTTGTTCGTTAATTATAATTAAATTAAAATTTGTGATACCTACCATTATAAATTGACACATCATACGACACAAACAAAATTTCGTACCAATAAAAAACCCTATCAAGCGAATTTTGTGTTAATTTTTTGTCATCAATGGCCGGGTAATTTTTAGCTTAATTTTTAAAATCCTGTGTTTAAATTATTATTTCTAATTATTACTTATATTGTATTAATTTGGGATACTCAACAATTATATGTTTATGTTTTATTTACTAAATGTTTTTTTACATGCAAACCTAACACATCATACGACACAAATAAAATTTCATATCAATACAAAACCCCATCAAGCGAATTTTGTGTTAGTAATTTTCTGTTAGTTTTAGGTCATCAATGTTAGGGTAATTTTTAAAATCGTATGTTTAAATTTATATTTGTAATTATTAGTTACATTGTATTTATTTAGGATACTTAACGATTATTTGTTTATGTAATGACATACGATTATATGTTGTATACTTAATATATGGATGACTTTGCTTATTTTTGGAGATGATGAAAAAATTTCAATGCATAGATTTGATTTTATATCGCAACAATTTTTCATTTATTGGTAAATATATTGATTTATTTTATATAAATGTAAAGATTTAATTTTATATCAATTTCAGTTTAGCTAACATTTCACGGTTCAATTTATCCATTGATGTAGTAGGTTGGTTGTGGACGAGGTTGGTGATTCTATCGAAATAAAAGATATGGTAAAACAATGAATAATGATTTAGGATTTAAATAATTAAAAATTTATCATTTCACATTAAAGATTTTATATAACGGAAAAAATATCATATTTACAATTTATTTATATTTAATAAATTCATTATAAATTATAGTAAAGAAAAAATAAATATTAAACTTTTGTAATTTTGTCTGAAATTATTAAATATAGTAAATCAAATAATTAAAAATCTTAGATGAAAAAACCGTGCATAAGCTAATAACTATATACTAAAAGACACACCAAAAATGCCACGTGTCATTTTTTGGTGTGTCCTTTAGTTTTTTTTTTTTTTTTTGAAAAAAATCTATTCAGGAACACTTTTGATCCTATACATAAATAAAAGAATAAAAAAAGATTTAACGTATTCTTCCACAATATATATTGATACCATATACTTAAGTAAGAAAAAAAAGTCAAATTTTTAACCTAATTTGTGACATACATACTATTATCTTATTATGTACTACTCTACCATTATTACAACACATATTTTTTTATTTTTTATTTTTGTATTTAATTATATATGAAAAGCTTGCCAAGAAAGATATGAAAAAATATTGTAAGTCGGTTGATTGTTAAAAAAAACAGGAAAATTTTCAACGGTGACCCTAACTAAGAAATTTATCTCACATATAACATTAATGAGTGTTATTTATTTAAGAAAAAAAAAAACTAACTATGGTTAACTTTGAAAAAAAAAATAAAAAAAAAAAACCACCCACCCAGCCACCACCTTCACCCTCATCCCCACCAGATTTAGCAAGCACCACCTCCACCCTCACCGGAGCCACCTGACCCCCTAATCTGGAACGCCGATCTCCCACCCAAACCGTCGAACCATCGCCTTCACCCTTTCCACCGCCTAGACTCGAACCCTAATCTCACAACTCTCTCTCCTCTGACCATTCCTTCTTTAACCTTCGATTCTCGCCGCTTCTCCGTGGGGTTGGTTTTGGTTGAGGAGGGATGGTGAGTTTAGGTTTGCGTTTTCGATTCCAGGCAGGGATTGAAGATGGCAGAAGATAAAGAGAGAGAGAGTGGAGGAGATGGCAGAGAAGAAAGAGAGAGATATCGGT